AATGTTCAATCTTAGAAATATAGGCAGGTATGATATATGAATTAATGGAAAAACCATAAAACATTTTTAATAGTGGTTTTATAGTTTAAAATATACATAGTACGTTGGAAACTACAGACCCTGATGCAGAGGTCTTTAGAGAACTTAACTTACTGATCATAAGAAAATTTTACAGTTGGCTTGTCTGTTTTTATAAATCCCACTTCTCATTCCTGGGACTGACATGAGGGAGTGGCACTTTGAAACCTTACAGAAATCATATCACTATTAACTTTTGTTATTAGGTAAGGTGTGGGGAAACATTGCAGTTCTGACATATTATTTTGGCATTTATAATTATTTACCTTTTCCTGCTTCACCAAAATTTCGGTAAAGAAACTAGTGATTACAATCATGACCTCTGAGGTCTCCTCTCCTAAACTCACTTTGGGATCCTACTTATCTCTGTGGCCTTGATCATTTACATTAGAATCTAATTTACTGATTTAGCTAATCTACCAAATAATTTTCAACTCTCTCCCAGTGAGGGTTATTATTCCTGGCATCTGACCTTGTTAGGGTGCGGGGCATTTGAACTGGAAGTAGAAGGGCCTTATTAATTGGCCTTCTGTCAATGGCCCAACTTCAGATTATGGATTTTATAAACGGAAAGTCGGCCAGGCTGTGTGGATAGAAGCTGCTGATATCTGGGACTGTCACAATGGTGGTGGCAGTTTTTGTGTTGTCTTAGTAATGTAACTGGAAAAACCTGTCTGAGTGTTATGTAGGTAATATGCTTTAGGGCATGCATTCTACTACTCATAACCTCTAAAATAAGAGTAGAGCAAAGATTGGAAACTGAACCACCGGTTTTAGAAGTCAGGTTTTGTTTCAGAGTCTAAGGGCAAGTTAACATTGGTTTGTATAGTGGCTAATGCCCTCTCCCTAGATTGAATGCTATTATGGCCATCTTAATAAAGAAACTCGAACATGGACTGTGTGGGCCTTCACTTTCAGGTTGGTTCTTCTGAAAGACTTTTCTTTTTTTTAAATATTTTTTCTTTATTTATTTATGATAGTCACACAGAATGAGAGAGAGAGGCAGAGACACAGGCAGAGGGAGAAGCAGGCTCCATGCACCGAAATTTTTTTTTTTTTTTATGATAGTCACAGAGCACAGAGAGAGAGAGAGAGAGAGGCGCAGAGACACAGGCAGAGGGAGAAGCAGGCTCCATGCACCGGGAGCCCGACGTGGGATTCGATCCCGGGTCTCCAGGATAGCGCCCTGGGCCAAAGGCAGGCGCCAAACCACTGCGCCACCCAGGGATCCCCTGAAAGACTTTTCTTAAAAAAAGAATTTTATTTTTACTTTAGGAAAGACCTATCAAGTCATCCCTATTTCATAAAGTCATAGTAAAAGGTTGTGCTTTTTTTTTCCTTTTTTTCTTTAAGAGAGGAAGAAAGTGGGAGCCTGCAGGGGCAGGGGGAGAGTGGGGTAAAGAGAATCCTAAGCAGATTCCATGCCCTGCACAGAGCCCAGAGATGGGGCTCCATCTCATGACACTGAGGTCATGGCCTGAGCTGAAATCAAGAATTGGTCGCTTAACTGATTGGGCCACCTAGGCGCCACAAAAGGAATCTTTTTATCTGAGCAGAATAAGGTTGTGCTTTTATATCTTTCTTTCTTTAATGTTTCTTAAAATGTTGGCACAAATAGCTCAATGACTTCTAAATAAATTGGTGACAAAGCTGTGAAAAGTTACAGTAAAAACATTGGAGTTTGAAAAACAAATTTTACTTCGGGTTATATATATATATTACCTGTGTGGTCTAGTGTAAGTTATTTAATATGTCTCAGCATGAGCCTTTATGAGGGCACTGATACCAATTTTGCAGATTTATTATGAGGATTAGAGACCATGAATCTAAAAGTTATGGCCCAGTAACTGGCACTGCATTAATCAGGCAGGCTCTCATTTTCTTTACCCTTGTGATCAGGGTCCTGGGCCCTGACACCCTGCCGTTCTGTCCTGGATGTGGGTTTTTTAGACCCTTTACCATGTGCCCTTCCAGAAGCTAAATTTCTGTCTCCAAATTTAAACCAATTGCAGCTTGTAATTTTATTAAATTATGCATATACATTGAGGTTTAGTGTTATAGTAATAGATAGATGACCATTAGAAAATCCACATAGGGCATTTTGAAGTTCTGTAAGTATTACTTTTTTTTTTCCAGTTGGTTTGGAATTAGTGAAACTAAAAATACATTTAAAAATATATATTGTTGGGGCACCTGGATGGCTCAGTCAGTTAAGCATCTGACTCTTGATTTCGGCTCAGGTTATGATTTCAGGCTCCAGGCATTCGAGCCCCATGTTGGGCTCAGCACTCCGTGGGGAGTCTGCTTGAGATTCTCTTGCTCCCTCTGCCCCCCCCCCCCGCTCATATTTTCTCTTTCTCTAAAATAAACAGATAATACAGTCTTTAAAAAAGATGTATTATTCCCTAAATGCTTTTAAAAGGGGGATAACCAGATACATAAGATTGGTCATTGTTAATCTTAGATGTTGGTGGTATGAACTCTTTCCAAAATCTAGAGCAAAGAGGACTGCCTAGGGTTGCACATTACTCCCCCATAGCTTCAGAACCTTCCTGATTTTTCACCAAGAAGATTGAGGTTAAGTTTTTTATTTAATAGGTCTAGTCATCTGAGTACTCAGTAGAACCACCTTGCACTTGCCTGCTTTTTGAACCCTGCAGAGTGAATTTTAAGAGCATGCCTCATATCTATTTTATAAAGTATTTTGCTTTTTTAAAGAAACGTGATTTCTGAACCATTAGTAGAGATCCCATTATCCTTTCAAAAAACCATAAGAGTAAAGGGAAATCAGAGTATATAGTCTCCTGGGCAACATTTGTCTCATCAGATACTCACCGTTTTCCCTGCTTTTTTTTTTTTTTCTCTCAGATGTCTCTTTATGGCCATCATAGAAGTGCCAACATATGACCCATGGTTGTTAATGTTCATTGCCCAGCCTGAACTGGAGGCCCTTCTTGCATGGGAACATACACATGGCAAATACTGAGTATTTTGATTTATTACTTCTGGTAAAATTCTGCTCTCTTTCTGTGTTTTAGAAACATTCTGGTAGAACACATGTATTTGCATCTTCTATATAAATACAGTTGGTGATTGCCAATTTTTTGAAAACTATGGTAACTTTTAGGATTGTTTGTATTTAATATATAGCATCAGGCAATACCCTTTTGTCTTTAACCTGCAAATAAAAACTGATCTGGCCTGTGGGTGCTGTTGCAGATGTGGAGAATACCACCAACTCCTCTCTTTTACTGCACCTGAGGCATTTTATAGATTAGAAGAGCCCACATCAGGTGATGAGTTCTTCCCACCATGGACTCTGTTTTATTATAGCAATAAGAACTCCCTGACTTGGTAGCATGACTGGTTCCTGAAGTATATCATCGTATATCATTCTTACATCATACCTGTCAGGGAGGGATGGTTTGGATGTTATTATGGCAATAATGAAGATAGAGAAGTAAAGTTGTTGCAGATGGCTTAAATGATTTGCTCAAGGTCACATGGTTGATCAGTAGCAGAGATAGGACTGGATCTGGGTCATCCTAGCCAACCAAGCTTATCTGCCAAGCCAAGAGGAGGATCTTGCAAGGTGGCTGCAATTTGTTGGGATTTTGATGATATTTTGCCAATTTCTTTTTTTAACCCTTTAATATAGAATAGTTTTAGATTTACAGAAAAGTTACAAGACTCGAACAGAGTTCTCATATACTCAGCATCAAGTTTCCCCTGTGTTAACATCTTATCTTAATCTATGGTTAATTTGGTACATTTGTCGCAATTAATGTTCCCAAATTGATATATTGTTATTAACCAAAACCCATATTCACATTTCCTTCATTTTTACCTAATGTTCTTTTTCTGTTGCAGCATCCCATCCAGGATACACCTTACTTTAGTCATCATTTTTCCTTACATTCCTCATGGGTCTGACAGTTTGGAGGAGTCCTGAATAGGCATTTTTAAAATGTCCCTTAATTGGGATTTGTCTAATGTTTTTTTCTCATAATTAGACTGGGGTGATGGGTTTTGGAACGAAGACTACAAACGAGGGTGCCATTTTTATCATGTCAAGAATGTATGTTATCAACATGACTTAGCCTTAATGATGTTGATCTTGATGACCGGAGATAGTGTGTGTTTCTCTGCTGTAAAGTTACTTTTCCCTCTCCTTTCTATACTACACTCTTTGGAAGGAAGTTACTATGCTCAGACCATTGCCTCGAGGGAGGGTATCTATATAAACAATTCAGAATTGTTCTGAGTGGGAGACTTAACTTATTCTGTCAACTCAGTGAATCCTACTCTACCATTTTTTCTTATGCCTGTTGGACAGGTGTGAAACTATGGCAGGAAGAGATGAAGTCAAAGAAGGGATTGGTAACAATTCACACCAGTTCTGAGTTTATTAGATGTGGTTGAGAAAAGGTGGATGCTGCCTTTATACTAGCAGAGGAGAAAACCATAAGAGAATAAAATGCCCCCCCTACCCCACCCCCACCCCCGCCAAGTGATTAATTACCCTTAGAGAGCCAGGGAGGTTGTTGCAAAGTGCAGGGAGAGAGTGCAGTGGTAATAAATTATAAGTGTGAACTTTAGTATAGGTATAGGAAATGCAATTACAGAAAGGACAACAAAATTTAGGAATTTGGGGAAAACAACATCATTGAACTTAAACATTCCAGCATCTCCTGGATACAAAACCATCTCCCACCTCCTAAACCTCAAACTTGGTGTGTATTTACAGTGTTGTCATTGAATTCCAACCTGGTTGGGGGCATATCATACAAATGTTTATCTTTTTTTTTAATCTCCAAAATTACGGAGGCCCCCCCAAAAATGACTCTGATTGACTACTTCTTCTGGGTGCCTACCTTGGGGCCATTTTATCTCATATTCTGCATTTTCCTTTCTCTCCACAGAACTCTATCCGGCACAACCTGTCACTGCACAGTCGGTTCATGCGAGTCCAGAATGAGGGGACTGGCAAGAGCTCTTGGTGGATCATCAACCCTGATGGGGGAAAGAGCGGGAAGGCACCCCGGCGGCGGGCTGTCTCCATGGACAACAGCAACAAGTATACCAAGAGCCGTGGCCGTGCAGCCAAGAAGAAGGCAGCCCTGCAGACAGCCCCTGAGTCAGCAGATGACAGTCCCTCCCAGCTCTCCAAGTGGCCCGGCAGCCCCACGTCACGCAGCAGCGATGAGCTGGATGCATGGACGGACTTCCGCTCGCGCACCAATTCCAATGCCAGCACCGTCAGTGGCCGCCTGTCACCCATCTTGGCAAGCACGGAGTTGGATGACGTCCAGGATGATGACGCACCACTCTCCCCCATGCTCTACAGCAGCTCAGCTAGCCTCTCACCCTCTGTGAGTAAGCCATGCACTGTGGAGCTACCACGGCTGACCGACATGGCAGGCACCATGAATCTGAATGATGGGCTCTCTGACAACCTCATGGATGACCTGCTGGATAACATCACACTCCCATCGTCCCAGCCATCGCCCACTGGAGGGCTCATGCAGCGGAGCTCTAGCTTCCCATATACCACCAAGGGCTCCGGCCTGGGTTCTCCAACTAGCTCCTTTAACAGCACGGTGTTCGGACCCTCGTCTCTGAATTCCCTGCGCCAGTCTCCCATGCAGACCATCCAAGAGAACAAGCCAGCTACCTTCTCTTCCATGTCACACTATGGCAACCAGACACTCCAGGACCTGCTCACTTCAGACTCACTCAGCCACAGCGATGTCATGATGACCCAGTCGGACCCCTTGATGTCTCAGGCCAGCACCGCTGTGTCCGCCCAGAACTCCCGCCGGAACGTGATGCTTCGAAATGACCCAATGATGTCTTTTGCCGCCCAGCCTAACCAGGGGAGTTTGGTCAATCAGAACTTGCTCCACCACCAGCACCAAACCCAGGGCGCTCTCGGTGGCAGCCGTGCCTTGTCGAATTCTGTCAGCAACATGGGCTTGAGCGACTCCAGCAGCCTTGGGTCGGTTAAACACCAGCAACAGTCTCCTGTCAGCCAGTCTATGCAAACCCTCTCGGACTCTCTCTCAGGCTCCTCCTTGTACTCAACTAGTGCAAACCTTCCCGTCATGGGCCATGAGAAGTTCCCCAGCGACTTGGACCTGGACATGTTCAATGGGAGCTTGGAATGTGACATGGAGTCCATTATCCGTAGCGAACTCATGGATGCTGATGGGTTGGATTTTAATTTTGATTCCCTCATCTCCACACAGAATGTTGTTGGTTTGAACGTGGGGAACTTCACTGGTGCTAAGCAGGCCTCATCTCAGAGCTGGGTGCCAGGCTGAAGGATCACTGAGGAAAGGGGAAGTGGGCAAAGCAGGTCAGTGCCCAGTGCTATGGCATTTAATAACAAAGTGTGGGTGATGGGGGGAGGTTGACTTTTATTTACTTTGAACTTTCCTCCACATTGAGAAATAGAGGACCATGGAGCAGTGGTACACAGAAATGTGGCTCCCAACCATTTCATCTCCAAGTCAAATGGGGCCATCAAGTGCCCTCCCCACAATTTGCTGACAGCTCAGGAATTTTACTGCCAGTAAAAAGAACATACACACATTCAGAGATTTTATTCTTCTTTGTATCCAGTCACCCTTGCTTACCCATGACACAGGTCTCCCTACTGGATGTATGGATGTGGATGGATGGAAGGGGAGGGAGGGGTCCTTAAGTCACACAAACTTCAAGGTTAAGGACCCAGCCAGAGAACATTCTCAGACCCTCAGGTCCAACACTACCATTGTTGATCTTCTATGTTGTGGTTTCTTCATCTTTTTTTCAGTAAAGTAATAATTCATAGGTACTTCTAATTTAACTGTAGAAAATATATTCTGACTCTTTCATACATTGAGTATTTCCACCAAAGGCAAGATTGTTAGATTCTTCACCAAAGTCCTAATCTTTATTGATTTAAGTGTTCAGCATTTAAGCATTTAAAATAGCAAAAGAAAAAAATAAAATAGCAAAAGATTTGAGTTGAAAACAGTTTTTATGTGAGAAGGAGAGCATTTGCTCATGTGCTTCTCGTTCCCTGAAGTACACGTGATAGCAGGTTCCAAACAGTGACATGGATTGGGAGCAGAGATTTTTTTTTTAATTGTGGCATTTTAATAGTGTTGGAACCAGAAAGATCATACAACATGATGTGGTAAGAGAAACATTTTATTGGAATAGGAAATCAGGGGTTCAGTTCCACTGCTACTACTTTCTGTCAAGAAATTATCAGGAGAGAATAATTGCCCCCTTGTTCCTTCACAGGATTATTATAAGAATCAAATGCCCTGAAGTATATGAAAGTACTTTGTAAAACTGCAGTGGGCTGAAATATGTATAGTGTAATTAGGTAAACATACTGACTGACAGATGAGTAAGCAGGGAGCCCAAGAGGGTTAAGTAGTTTGCCAAACGTCACACAGCTGGACCTAGAATCCATATTTCTTGAATGGCTTGAACTGTGGTAGTTTTTCCTAATTTTCTCAGGGTGGAAAAAAATAGGAAGTGCTCTGAACTGGAGCTAGTGTCGCAGAAAATACACCGGCTTGCCCTGAAACTCTCCTTAAGAAGTAAGGTGAGCACTGGGGTATTTTGTGGACAGGTTTGTACCCCTAGACCCTACCCATGTTCAAGGGCTGTGTTCTGTGCCCCAGCTCCTCTTTTAAAAACATCTCAGCAAGCCCTTTACACCCTTCTTTAAATGGTGTAAAAGGGAAATGGGATTCAAAGCCTTTCAGACCTGAGCCTTGTTTAACCCTCTGCCCCAGTGAAGGAATTACAAGGGTCTCCTATGGTGAGCTCAGCACAGCTCACTGGGTAGTTGTCGAAAGGGGAGTGTCAAGAGTGTTGTGATGCTAAAGCTTCTCAGCTTTCTCAGGCATACGCAGGCCCCTAATGGAACTCAGACATCTGTTTTCAGTCATTTAATAGCCCTTGAGATGGTAAAAAGACTGTAATGGAAGCTAAATAGGGTGACACACTTGCATGCCAGCCAGTTCAGTACCATAACAGAACTCAGACTCAGGAAGACTTGCCTTGAGAAATTTAGATATTTGCCTTTTAGAAGAACAAATAGTTTGTCTTCCTTTAAAAAGTGGAATGTGATTGTGTCTTCTAATGGCACAAGTAAGTTTTAATTTTGGTGTAGTTGTAAGGAGGCCACTTTCTGATTCATTGAGAAGAGGTAATTCTGAAGAAAATGTACTACCCATTCTTGTCTGCTTTTTCAAGTGCAGTTGAATAGCATACCTTTCTTGTATATGTATGATTCTAAAAGATTGTGTAAAAATAGTTTAAGGGATATTTAAACACTTACATTTTAAAACCACATTTAATGAATTATTATTTGTATGATAAATAACTACTTTTGGGATAATGTGTTTTATTATTATGCCCTAATGGAACCATAGGGTCGTGTTCTTTTTCTCAGAACATTTGGGGTAGATTTTTTTTGAGAAGATAACTTCTTCATTTAAAAATGAAAAGTAACCAAAATTTCCTAACAGTGAACCAGCTCTGTGTGATTAAAGCAAGAAAAGAAGCATCCTAAAGACAATGGGGGGTGCTTTGAGGGAGTCTGGTTTCTGGGGTTAAGATTTCCATATTGCTTTGGAATAAATTGCTCCTCTAAAAAGCCAGGAGCACAAATGGCCTGAAGTATATTCTTTACTTTTAAGCTTGTGGCTATCATGTTGAAGCCTCCCCTAAACTAACAAAAGAGACGACCTGAGGCCACAACCTCAGACCGCCCTTCTCCCGAATTAAGCACCCCAGCTTCCCAAGAGTTGTTCTATAATGACTTTTGTGGTTTGGCTTTTTTTTTTTTTTTTTTAAACTAGTAGTCATGGTATTCTCCAGACTCCCTTCCTGACTTAACAGAAGGTCATATGATCCTAAATTAGAACCCTCTAGTTGTGGAGTTAATGGAGCAGCTCTATCCAGTTGACAGACAGTCTTGCCAGAGAGCCGTGGAGAGGTGCTTCTCTGGAGGGCTGGGTGTTTCACACACGTCATTCATCTTAGACCATGTGTAAAATCCTTTGACCCATGGGTCTATCTGGAAAAGAAAAAAAAATAACCGTACCTTTTTATGAGTGCCAGCTACTGGGGTGTGAAGGGCACTGTCTTCTGTCATAAAGCTTGATGCATGTACCTTCAAATTGGCAGCAGAGATGTCTGTGAGCTGGTATGGCGGTTGCAACACCAAGCTTCTGGTGAGCCCTCCCATGTCTCATGTGTGTCTCCTCAGAGGACAAGCAGCCTTAGTCTCATTCTTTTGAGGTCAAAAGTTGCCTAAGTTCACAAGCTCTTTCATTCATCTTCATCTTTTGGCATTGGGAGACCCCATTAGCAAGCAGCCCATTATTTAGTTTTAAACCACTTTGTGATAAAGATTGGAAAACCTCAACCGGAAAAGGCTCAGGGAGCGGAGGGGCAGTAGTCTTCCTGCTTCTGCTACACCACCAATGAATCTCACAATGGTAGGTTTCTCATCTGTCGAATGAGGATAGAATCGGAGAATCATGCGCTTTCAAAAGTGCATAGTATATGTAATTTTAAACCCGAAACCTAACATTCTGTCTGGGAAGTGGCCCTATTAGAGATACATGATGATGCAGAACTATTAAGAAACAGTGGCATAGTAATGTGGAAACAGCAGGATCTCGTATTGGAGGCCATTTAGAATTCATATTTAGGCTGCTTTCCAAAAGGAGCAAATTTTTGATACTTGTTGAACTGATACTTGAATGCTGTGATTCTATTTTGTATTCATGTTGGGGAATAGGACTAATTCTAACCAAATATAGGCAATGTAGGCTATTTGTGTCATTTTTTTTCTTGATGTAGAAATATCTGTGTTAGGCAATGTGTAAGGTATGATAAATACGAATCTGTATGTATTGCATGGAGAATATACTCAATTACTTGCACTTGTGGCTATAGTCTAGTCTGTGGTTACAATATGCCAGTCTCAAGAATTTCTGCATCTGCAGGGATCTTCATTCTTTTTAAAAAAAAGCCTGAAGTCTGAACCGTCACTCATTGAGAGAATGGCTGTCTGGATCTTTTTAGTGTTGACAACAGTAAAGGAAAATTGACACAGCTGTGAAAAGGGGTTTTCTGTGTAGAGGTTGGTACACTTCTTACTTACATTCTTTTCCCTGGAAAGCAGTGCTATCCAGTACTGAGGCTGCTCTTCCGGGACACAGGGAGAGACCTCTGCCTGAGTGACTCTCGCTTCAAGCAGTTGCATTTGTACTTGGCTTTCTCCAAGGTCTCTTTGGCCACAGAGCTAGTGGGAGCATGAATAAATGGGGTAAAAATCACCTGAATTACTGCTGGAAATTCTTGTAAACTCCCATTAAATGCTTCTTTTTCCAGGGTTCATAATGCTCAGCATTTGACATATTATAAATAACGTTTTTTCAAGTATAGTCTTCCCCCAGGTGCCACCTATGCTTCTCATAGGCTTCCCTTTCTTTATAGAGATGGGTGAAAGGGACTTGTCAGGATCTACCTCTGTGCTGTCGTTGGAGAGATTGGCCAGGGTCCTGCCTTGTTTCTGGGGCAGGTAGAAGGATGTTTGCGGACCGCTTTCTCTTCCCGACTTGGAGATGCAGGTTTCAACACTGGATTTTCATTCCAAGATGGAGATTCCCCATCTTGTAACAGACATCATCCACTTCACCCAGGTTTTGTTGATGTGTTCATTTGATGTAAAATATTGCTTTCCCTCATCTTCCAAATTGTTTTGTTGAAGTTTAAGGTTCCAAAAACTAAAATGAATTAAAATTTTGTTTTGAAAATTAGTGTGACACTTCTGATATTTGGAGGTCCCGTAAGTCAGCGTGTCTCAAAGCGTTTCATAGGACAGTAGATCCTCAAGGTGTTCGTGGGTATTAAATAGAAAATGCATTCTGTGAATACCATGGTAAACAAAGGGAAATAGGGTTGTTGCCAGCTGGGCTTCTCAGAGCCTTAAAAGTTAAATAGATGTTATATGAGCCTTCTGGGAGAGGATTGAAGTGTTTCCTAAATTTATTTGATATCTTGAGTTAAATCTTTTTTCTCTAAGAAACCATAGGACCAGTGGTCTAAAGAAACCCCTAAAGACATGAGCCAGCTACCCACTTCAGCTCACTGTCCCTGGGGTTCTGCTCTGATGGGAACCGTGGATTTTAAAAGCCTCTCCCTATAACCCACTCCAAGTTGAGTACCATCCATGTGGTACAGCAGAGGAGCGGTGGGATTTGTAGCAGAAGGCTGCCGTTTTCATGGCTATATGTCAGAATCAAGTCACTCATCTCCCTCAGTCTCCGTTTATTTATC